ACAGATCAACCAGACAGAAAGTTAACAAGGATATCCAGGACCTGAACTCAGACCTGGACCAAGCAAACCTAATTGACATTTACAGAACTCTCCACCCCAAATCCACAGAATATACATTCTTCTCAGCACCACATCACACCTACTCTAAAATTGACCACATAATTGGAAATAAATCACTCCTCAGCAAATGCAAAAGAACAGAAATCATAACAAACAGTCTCTCAGACCACAGTGCAATCGAGTTAGAACTCAGAATGCAGAAACTAACTCAGAACCACACAGCTTCATGGAAACTGAACAACTGGCTCTTGAATGTTGACTGGATAAACAATGAAATGAAGGCAGAAATAAAGATGTTCTTCGAAACCAACAAGAATGAAGACACAACATACCAGAATCTCTGGGACACATTTAAAGCAGTCTCTAGAGGAAAATATATAACAACAAGTGCTCACATGAGAAGCAAGGAGAGATCTAAAATTGAAACCCTAGCATCAAAATTGAAAGAGCTACAGGAGCAAGATCAAAAAAACTCAAAACCTAGCAGAAGACAAGAAATAACTAAGATCAGAGCAGAACTGAAGGAGAAAGAGACACAAAAAAAACCCTTCAAAAAATCAATAAATCCAGGAGCTGGTTTTTTGAAAAGATAAACAAAACAGACAGAACACTAGCCAGATTAATAAAAAAGGAAAGAGAGAATAACCAAATTGATGCAATAAAAGGGGATATCACCACAGATTCTACAGAAATTCAAACCATCATCAGAGATTATTACAAACAACTCTACGCACATAAACTAGTAAACCTGGAAGAAATGGACAAATTCCTGGACACTTGCTTCCTCCCAAGCCTAAACCAGGAAGAAGCTGAAACCCTGAACAAACCCATAACAAGGTCTGAAGTTGAGGCAGCAATTAAGAGACTACCACCCAAAAAAAGCCCAAGACCAGATGGGTTCACAGCCGAATTCTACCAGACATACAAAGAGGAGCTGGTACCATTCCTTCTGAAACTATTCCAAATAATCCAAAAAGAGGGAATCCTTCCCAAATCATTTTATGAGACAAACATCATCCTGATACCAAAACCCGGCAGACACTCAACAAGAAAAGAAAACTTCAGGCCAATATCCATGATGAACATAGATGCAAAAATCTTCAATAAAATACTGGCAAGCTGACTGCAACAGCACATCAAAAAGCTTATCCACCATGATCAAGTAGGTTTCATCCTGGGGATGCAAGGCTGGTTCAACATATGCAAGTCTATAAATGTAATTCACCACATAAACAGAACCAAAGACAAAAACCACATGATTATCTCAATAGGTGCAGAGAAGGCCTTTGACAAAATTCAACAGCCCTTTATGCTAAAAACCCTCAATAAACTAGGTATTGACGGAATGTATCTCAAAATAATAAAAGCTATTCACGACAAACCAACAGCCAATATCATACTGAATGGGCAAAAACTGGAAGCATTCCCTTTGAAATCTGGCACTAGACAAGGAAGCCCGCTCTCACCACTGCTATTCAATATAATACTGGAAGTTCTAGCCAGAGCAATCAGGCAAGAAAAAGAAATAAAGGGTATTCAAATAGGACAGAAGGAAGTCAAATTGTCTCTATTTGCAGACAACATGATTGTATATCTAGAAGACCCCATCATCTCAGCCCAAAAGCTCCTGAAACTGATAAGCAACTTCAGCAAAGTCTCAGGATACAAAATCAATGTGCAAAAATCACATGCATTCCTATACACCAATAACAGACTTAAAGACAGCCAAATCAAGAACAAACTGCCATTCACAATTGCTACAAAGAGAGTAAAATGCCTAGGAATACAACTAACAAGGAACGTAAAGGACCTCTTCAAGGAGAACTACAAGCCACCACTCAACGAAATAAGAGAGGATACAAACAGATGGAGAAACATTCCATGTTCATGGTTAGGAAGAATCAATATCGTGAAAATGGCCATACTGCCCAAAGTAATTTACAGATTCAATGCTATTCCCATCAAGCTACCAATGACCTTCTTCACAGAACTGGAAAAAACCACCTTAAACTTCATATGGAACCAAAAGAGAGCCTGCATAGCCAAGCAATTCTAAGCAAAAAGAACAAAGCAAGAGGCATCACACTACAGGACTTCAAACTATACTACAAGGCTACAGTAATCAAAACAGCATGGTACTGGTACCAAAACAGAGATATAGACCAATGGAACAGGACAGAGGCCTCGGAGGCAACACAACATATCTACAACCATCCGATCTTTGACAAACCTGGCAAAAACAAGCAACGGGGAAAGGATTCCCTGTTTAATAAATGGTGTTTGGAAAACTGGCTAGCCATGTGCAGAAAGCAGAAACCGGACCCCTTCCTGACACCTTACACTAAAATTAACTCCAGATGGATTAAAGACTTAAACATAAGACCTAACACCATAAAAACCCTAGAAGAAAATCTAGGCAAAACCATTCAGGACATAGGCGTAGGCAAGGACTTCATGACCAAAACACCAAAAGCATTGGCAACAAAAGCCAAAATAAACAAATGGGACCTAATCAAACTCCACAGCTTCTGCACGGCAAAAGAAACAGTCATTAGAGTGAATCAGCAACCAACAGAATGGGAAAAAATTTTTTCAGTCTACCCATCTGACAAAGGGCTGATATCCAGAATTTACAAAGAACTAAAACAGGTCTACAAGAAAAAAACAAACAAGCCCATTCAAAAGTGGCGAAGGATATGAACAGACGCTTTACAAAAGACATACATGAGGCCATCAAACATATGAAAAAATGCTCATCATCACTGGTCATTAGAGAAATGCAAATCAAAACTACATTGAGATACAATCTCATGCCAGTTAGAATGGCAATCATTAAAAAATCTGGAGACAACAGATGCTGGAGAGGATGTAGAGAAATAGGAACACTTTTACACTGTTGGTGGAAGTGTAAATTAGTTCAACCATTGTGGAAGACAGTGTGGCGATTCCTTAAGTACCTAGAAATAGAAATTCCATTTGACCTAGCAATCCCATTACTGGGTATAAATCCAAAGGATTATAAATCGTTCTACTCTAAGGACATGTGCACACGAATGTTTATTGCAGCACAGTTTACAATAGCAAAGACCTGGAACCAACCCAAATGCCCATCGATGATAGACTGGACAGGGAAAATGTGGTACATATACACCATGGAATATTATGCAGCCATCAAAAATGATGAGTTTGTGTCCTTTGTAGGGAAATGGATGAACCTGGAAACCATCATTCTCAGCAAACTGACACAAGAGCAGAAAATCAACCACCACATGTTCTCACTCATAGGCGGGTGTTGAACAATGAGAACACATGGACACAGGGAGGGGAGCACTACATACTGGGGTCTATTGGGGGAAAATGGGGGAGGGCTGGGGGGTGGGGAGGTGGGGAGAGATAGCATGGGGAGAAATGCCAGATATAGGTGAAGGGGAGGAAGGCAGCAAATCACACTTCCATGTGTGTACCTATACAACAATCTTTCATGTTCTTAACATGTGCCCCAAAATCTAAAATGCAATAAAAAAATTAATAAAAAAGAATCCTTAAAAAAATCTTAATATTAGTGAACTTAACCCATAGTATATAAAATTTAATATATCACAATAATGCTTGCTTTACTTTATTATTTGATTTGTTAGCATGTACCATTACAAATTCAGCCTGTATAATTCACCATGTAGTTCAATAGAATATGTAATTGAAGAGAACAAAGAAGAAAATTTCAATAGAAGCAGGAAAAAACATCTGATAAGATTGAATATGTATTCATAATTAAACTAGACATAGAGCAGAAAGAAACTTTTTGATTCTGATAAAGGGTTTCTATAGAAAACATCATTTTTGATAGTAAAGTATTATAATATTCTCTTTTAAATTCAAACGAAACTGAAGGTCTATGATCACCAATTTGATTAAATTTGAACTATGTGTCTTTAACAAAGCAGGGAGTCAAGAACAAAAAATAAGAGTACATGGATTAGAAAAGAAACATGTTATTATACACCTAAATTATTAAAATAATTTAGCCAGTTCAACATACAGAAAATGAACTCTTTCAACTGTATTTTTCTATATCAGAAACAATAAAATGACACTTCAAAAAGTCATAACATTTATAATAGTATCAAAAGATACATAGAAATAAAATGAACAACATAGTTGCAACACTTCTAAACTAATAACCACTAAACAGTATTAAAAATTTAGAAGACAGAACAAATCTATCCCTATGGGAATGCATTATGCAGTGGAAGAATAAAATCTTAGAATCCCAATCTAGACCCTAAGGGCTGTATGACACAGTAATTTCCCTCAAATGAGAATAAAAACAGGTAACTTGAGATTGTTGTGAAGATTTAAAATAATGCAGGAAAAGTTAGTAGATGGTTGATTATTAGTACTTCTTATTGTATATCTGATGACCACTTTAAACTTACCCTGGATTTGCTTTTGAGGCTTTATGATATTTATTTACTTTGTTTTGTTTTTTTTGAGACAGAGTCTTGCTCTGTTGCCCACGCTGGAATGTAATGGCGTGATCTCGGCTCACTACAACCTCCACCTCCCGGATTCAAGTGATTCTTCTGCCTCAGCCTCCGGAGTAGACGGGATTACAGGCATGTGCCACCATTCCCAGCTAATTTTTATGTTTTTAGTATAGACAAGTTTCTCCATGTTGACCAGGCTGGTCTCAAACTCCTGACCTCAGGTGTTACATCTACCTCAGTCTCCCGAAGTGCTGGGATTAGAGGCGTGAGCCACCATGCCCAGCCTAAGGCTTTATTATATTTAAGGAGGGGTTTTCCAGCCTTGTAAAAGGATTTATGTACCAAACATGTGTCCTGACTTTCTGCATTGAAGGAAGGGCAGATTCTCCACATGTTTTATAGCCTGAACCTGAAGCTAATTTGCTAGAGACTTAGGGATCCTGAAGTACTTACTTTCTTTGCTACAATTTAGGTAGACAGAAAGATTCTTGTAGATGGTGCACAGTATCTTCATCTCGTAGATAGATGTATACTCACCAATGCACTTTGCAAGGTTGTAATTGGGAAAGAACAGTAATGAATTACCTAGAATGGTTCTGGTGGTGTTTGACATGCTGGTTAGCTGTTCTGAAAAGATAAGAGATTAGGTAGCATTACAGAAAATCAACTCTCCCCAGGACAACAAATCCTCCAGTGATGATCAAATCAAGCTCAGAAAATTGAAAACCAGGTAATTATCTTTGAAGAATGCTCTAGTGGCTGTCTGGAGCGGTCACTGCCCTCGATGACACAGTTTGTGCTGATGATTGTAGAATTCTGAAGTAGTTTTGGTGAAATGGGTATCCATATGATAAATCTTTCTAGCACTTGATAGGGGCAGGAAGTCACTATTGGCTATCTTTCAACATTTCCAACATAAACATAAATTGATTACCTAAAGGAGTAAAGTAGAGGCAGGAGATAGAGGCTAGTAATCAGCAGTAGGGAATGGATAGGGAAAATTCTGAAACATTTGAGAGTTCAACAAAACTTCAAAGAAACAAGCTGGTAAGTTAATTAATGTCTTTCCAAAGAATGAATTGCACATAAATAATTAGAGACTAAGTTCCTGGAGATATGAACGTGTTTAATTTATGAATTTCCAGTGTAGAATTTTGATAATGAATTCATACATTTGGGAAGAGGATAAAAGACAGGTCTAAAGAAAAAGTTCTTATAAAACACTTTGAGCAAGGAGAGATGGCAAAGACATAAACCGTCAAGTGCTAAAATTATGGCAAGGCTGTCCTATAGAGAAAAATAATTGACAGATAATGAATAATTCTGGATACTGGCTTCTTGTACATATGTAAAAAACATCAAGGGCTAATTCTATAGACCAGCACTGTCCAATAGAACTTTACATCATTATGGAAATGCTCTATAAATCCTCTCTAAAGAATTCTAGGGAAGGTCATATTTAATACATGGTCCTCTGACTTGCCTCAGCATCTGTTCTTATGCTTTGGTAACACGTCCTCAGATTTTATAGCATTTTTGAATAATGTCAGTTTCTTTACTTTCGGTCTATATGGGCTTTACTTTTCTATATTACAGAATGGAATTGAGATCTGATGCATAATGTTTAACAGCGGTAGCAATATAGTTCTCATTTTTTTTTAATTAAAAAAAATTTTAAATATATATTTTATTGCATTTTAGGTTTTGGGGTACATGTGAAGAACGTGCAAGATTGTTGCATAGGTATATACATGGCAACGTGGTTTGCTGCCTTCTTCCCCGTAACCTGTATCTGGCATTTCTCACCACGTTATTCCTCCCCAACACCCCACCTCCTGCTGTCCCTGCCCTAGATCCCCCCCACAGACCCCATTGTGTGATGCTCCCCTCCCTGTGTCCATATGTTCTCATTGTTCAACACCTGCCTATGAGTGAGAACATGCAGTGTTTTTGTGTTCTTGTGTCAGTTTGCTGAGAATGATGGTTTCCAGGTTCATCCGTGTCCCTACAAAGGACACGAACTCATCCTTTTTGATGGCTGCATAGTATTCCATGGTGCATATGTGCCACCTTTTCCCTGTCCAGTCTATCATCGATGGGCATTTGGGTTGGTTCCAGGTCTTTGCTATGGTAAACAGTGCTGCAATGAACATACGTGTGCACGTGTCTTTATAGTAGAATGATTTACAATCCTTTGGGCATATACCCAGCTATGGGATTGCTTGGTCAAATGGAATTTCTATTTCTAGATCCTTGAGGAATTGCCACACTGTCTTCCACAATGGTTGCACTAATTTACACTCCCACCAACAGTGTTAAAGTGTTCCTATTTCACCACATCCTCTCCAGCATCTGTTGTCTCCAGATTTTTTAATGATCGCCATTTTAACTGGTGTGAGATGGTATCTCAATTTGATTTTGATTTGCATTTCTCTAATGACCAGTGATGATGAGCATTTTTTCATATGTTTGTTGTCCTCATATATGTCTTCTTTTGAAAAATGTCTGTTCATATCCTTCGTCCACTTTTGGATGGGTTTGTTTTTTATTGTAAATCTGTTTTAGTTCTTTGTAGATTCTGGATATCAGCCCTGTCAGATGGGTAGATTGCAAATATTTTTTCCCATTCTGTTGGTTGCTGGTTCACTCTGATGATTGTTTCTTTTGCTGTGCATATCTAAGCTTAATTAGATCTCATTTGTCTATTTTGGCTTCTGTTGCCATTGCTTTTGGTCTTTTAGTCATGAAGTCCTTGCCTATGCCTGTGTCCTGAATGGTATTGCCTAGGTTTTCTTCTAGGGTTTTTACGGCGTTAGGTCTTATGTTTAAATCCTTAATCCATCTGGAGTTAATTTTAGTGTAAGGTGTAAGGAAGGGGTCCAGTTTCTGTTTTCTGCAAATGATTAGCCAGTTTTGCCAACACCATTTATTAAACAAGGAATCCTTTCCCCATTGCTTGCTTTTGTCAGGTTTGTCAAAGATCAGATGGTGTAGATGTGTGGTGTTGCTTCTAAGGCCTTTTTTCTGTTTCACTGGTCTATATCTCTGTTGTGGTACAAGCACCATGCTGTTTTGATTACTGTAGCCTTGTAGTATAGTTTGAAGTCAGGTAGCATGAGGCCTCCAGCTTTGTTCTTTTTGCTTAGAATTGTCTTGGCTATGCAGGCTCTCTTTTAGTTCCACATGAAGTTTAAAGTGATTTTTTACTGTTCTGTGAAGAAGGTCATTGGTAGCTTGATGGGGATAGTATTGAATCTATAAATTACTTTGGGCAGTATGGCTATTTTGACGATATTGATTCTTCCTAACCATGAGCATGGAATGTTTTTCCATCTGTTTGTGTCCTTTCTCATCTCCTTGAGCAGTGGTTTGTAGTTCTTGAAGAGGTCCTTTACATCCTTTGTTAGTTGTATTCCTAGGTATTTTATTCTCTTTGTAGCAATTGTGAATGGGAGTTCACTCATAATTTGGCTTTCTCTTTGTCTGTTATTGGTGTATAGGAATGCCTGTGATTTCTGCACACTGATTTTGTATCCTGAGACTTTGCTGAAGTTGCTTATCTGTTTAAGGAGATTTTGGGCTGAGACAATGGGGTCTTCTAAATATACAATCATGTCATCTGCAAATAGAGACAATTTGACTTCCTCTTTTCCTAATTGAATGCCTTTTATTTCTTTTTCTTGCCTGATTGCTCTGGCTAGAACTTCCAATCCTATATTGAATAGGAGTGGTGAGAGAGGGCATCCTTGTCTAGTACCAGATTTCAAAGGGAATGCTTAAATTTTTTGCCTGTTCAGTATGATATTGGCCGTGGGTTTATCATAAATAGCTTTTATTATTCTGATATACATTCCATTGAAACCTAGTTTATTGTGGGTTTTTAGCATAAACGGCTGTTGAATTTTGTCGAAGGCCTTCTCTGCACCCATTGAGATAATCATGTGGTTTTTGTCTTTGGTATTCTGTTTATGCGATGGATTACATTTATAGATTTGCATATGTTGAACCAGCCTTGCATCCCTGGGATGAAGCCTACCTGACCGTGATAGATAAGCATTTTGATATGCTGTTGCATTCAGTTTGCCAATATTTTATTGAAGACTTTTGCATCGATGTTCATCAGGCAAAAATCTTCAATATTGGCCTGAGATTTTCTTTTTTAGTTGTGTCTCTGCCAGTTTTTGGTATCAGGATGATGTTGGTCTCATAAAATGAGTTAGGAAGGACTCCCTCTTTTTGTATTGTTTGGGATCGTTTCAGAAGGAATGGTACCAGCTTCTCTTTGTATGTCTGGTAGAATTTGGCTGTGAACCCATCTGGACCTGGACTTTGTTTGATTGGTAGGCTATTAATTGTTGCCTCAACTTCAGACCTCGTTATTGGTCTACTCAGGGTTTCAACTTCTTCCTAGTTTAGTCTTGTGAGGGTGGAAGTGTCCAGGAATTTATCCATTCCTTCCCGATTTACTGGTTTATGTGCATTGAGTTGTTTGTAGTAATCTCTGATGGTAGCTGTTTTTCTGCAGAATTGGTGGTGATATTCCCTTTATCGTTTTTTATCGCATCTATTTGATTCTTCTCTCTTTTCTTTTTTATTAATCTGGCTAGCAGTCTGCCTAAATTGTTGATCTTTTCAAAACACCAGCTCCTGGATTTATTGATTTTTTGAAGGGTTTTTTCTGTCTCTGTCTCCTTCAGTCCTGCTTTAGTTATTTCTTGTCATCTGCTAGCTTTTGAGGTTTTTTTTTTTTTTTTTTTTTTTTTTTTTTTTTTTTTTTTTTTTTTTATCTTGCTTCTCTAGCTGTTTCAATTTTGATGATAGGGTGTTGATTTTAGATTTTTCCTCCCTTCTCATATGGACATTTATTGCCATAAATTTCCCTCTAGACACTGCTTTAAATGTGTCCCAGAGATTCTGGTATGTTGTGTCTTCGTTCTCATTGGTTTCAAAGAACATCTTTATTTCTTCCTTCATTTCATTGTTTATCCAACAGTAATCTTGTCCAGGTCTTTTCACATTGTCCAGTTGTCATTCAGGAGCAGGTTGTTCAGTTTCCATGTAGTTGTGTGCTTTTGCATGAGTTTCTTAATCCTAAGTTCTAATTTGATTGCACTGTGGTCTTAGAGACTGTTATTATTTCCATTCTTTTCCATTTGCTGAGGAGTGATTTACTTCCAATTATGTGGTCAATTTTAGAGTAAGTGTGATGTGGTGCTGAGAAGAATGTATATTCTGTGGATTTGGGGTGGAGAGTTCTGTAGATGTCTATTAGGTCTGCTTGGTCCAGATCTACATTCAAGTCCTGGATATCCCTGTTGATTTTCTGTCTTGTTGTTGTGTCTAATATTGCCAGTGGAATGTTGAATCTCCCGTTATTATTGTGTGAGAGTCTATGTCTGTTTGTGGGTCGTTAAGAACTTGCTTTATGTATCTGGGTGCTCTGTATTGGGTGCATATATATTTAGGATAGTTAGCTCTTCTTGTTGCCTTGAATCCTTTACAATCATGTAATGCCCTTCTTTGTCTCTTTTGATCTTTGTTTAAAGTCCATTTCATCAGAGACTAGGATTGCAACTTCTGCTTTTTTTTTTTTTTTTTTTTTTTTTTTTGCTCTCCATTTGCTTGGTAAATCTTCCATCTCTTTATTTTGTGTCTGTGTGTGTCTTTGCACATGAGATGGGTCTCCTGAATACAGCACACCGATGGTTTTGGCTTTCTATCCAGTTTGCCAGTCTGTGTCTTTTGATTAGGGTATTTAGGCCATTTACATTTAACGTTAATATTGTTATGTGTAAATTTGATCCTGCCATTTTGTTACTGGCTGGTTGCTTTGCCTGTTAGTTGATGCAGTTTCTTTATCGCATTGTTGGTCTTTACCATTTGGTACATTTTTGCAGTGGCTGGTACTGGTTGTTCAGAAGCTCTTGTAAGGCAGGCCTGGTGGTGACGAAATCTCTTAGCACTTGTTTGTCCATAAAGAATTTTATTTTTCCTTCACTTATGAAGCTTAGTTTGGCTGGATAGGAGATTCTGGGTTGAAAGTTCTGTGCTTTAAGGATGTTGAATGTTGGCCCCCACTCTTTTCTGGCTTGTAGGATTTCTGCTGAGAGATCTGCTGTGAGTCTGATGGACTTCCCTTTGTGAGTAACCTGACCTTTCTCTCTGGCTGGCCTTAGCATTTTCTCCTTCATTTCAACCCTGGTGAATCTGATGATTATGTGCCTTGGGGTTGCTCTTCTTGAGGAGTATCTTTGTGGTGTTCTCTGTATTTCCTGGATTTGAATGTTTGCCTGCCTTGCTAGGTTGGGGAAGTTCTCCTGGATAATATCTTGAAGAGTGTTTTCCAGCTGGATTCATTCTCCCCATCACATTCAGGTACACTGATCAAGTTTGGTTAGGTCTTTTCACATAATCACATATTTCTTGGAGGCTTTGTTCATTTCTTTTCACTCTTTTTTCTCTAATCTTGCCTTCTCATTTTATTTCATCGAATTGATCTTCAATCTCTGATATCCTTTATTCTGCTTGATCGATTTGGCTACTGAAACTTGTTATGCTTTGTGAAGTTCTCGTGCTGTGTTTTTCAGCTCCATTAAGTCATTTATGTTCTTCTCTAAGCTGGTTATTTTAGACAGCATTTCATCTAACCTTTTTTCAAGATTTTTAGTTTCTTTGCATTGAGTTAGAACATGTTTCTTTAGCTCAGAGAAGTTTGTTATTACCCACCTTCTGAAGCCTGCTTCTGTCAATTTGTCAAGCTCATTCTCCATCCCATTTTGTTCCTTTGCTAGTGAGGAGTTGTGATCCCTGGGAGGAGGAGAGGCATTCTGGTCTTTGATGATTTCATCCTTTTTGTGTTGGTTTCTTCATATCTTCATGGATTTATCTACCCTTGACCTTTGAAGTTGCTGATTTTGGATGGGGTCTCTGAGTGGACATCCTTTCTGTTGATGTTGAAGCTATTTCTTTTTGTTTTTTAGTTTTCCTTCTAACAGTCAGGCTCCTCTGCTGTAGGACTGCTGGAGGTCCACTTCAGACCTTGCTTGACTGGGAGTCACCCACGGGGGCTGTGGAGCAATGAGGATTACTGCCTGATCTTTCCTCTGGTAGCTTCATCCTGGAAAGGTACCTGCCAGGTGTCAGCCTCAGCTCTTCCTGTATGTGGCATTTTTTTGGTTATTCAGGGGTCAGGGAGCTGCTTGAGGAGGCAGTCTGTCCCTTGTCTTCCTGCAGAGGTGGTGCTGGACTGCCTCAGATTCAGCCCAGCTGCTATGTAGGCGTCCTCTGTCTTTTGTTTACACAGGTGAGATTACACCTGCCTTTGCAATGGCAGACGCCCTTCCCCCACACTTAGCTCGACTGTCCCGGGTCGAGCTTGGACTGCTGTGCTGGCTGTGAAAATCTCAAGTGAGAGGGCTTCAGTTTGCTGGTCTTTGTGGGAGTGGGACATCTGGTGATGTCATGTTTACCAGATTATTCATGATCCTTGTTGTTGCAGGTCTGCACATTTGATGAAGTATTTATTCTAGTCTTCATAGACTGGCTTCATCTGGGAACACACTTCAACAGTAATCCTGTCTAGAGATTCTGGGCAGGCCATATAGGGTGGTCCCTAAGTCTGAGATTGCTGAGGCCATTGAAAACTAGAAGGCCCTCTAAGCCCTGACCACCGTGGCCAGCACAGTGCCAGGCTGGAATATCATGGCTTCTAAGGCTGATGTAGCTCTGGGACATGCCAGAAGGTAATGGACACTGAGGCCTGCCTGCCACTGAGAGCTGTTTAGAGCCCAAGATTACTTAATTGGCTGGTGATGGTGCAGACTGGAGATGGAGTCCACTTTGCAGGTATTATGGGTTCTTACCTAGTGCTGATGCAGGTTTGCCCAGTTTGAAGGTACTGACCTTGATTTAGGGACAGTAGAGGTCTGCCCCATGTTGAGTTTTACTGTAGAAGACATGCTATTAAGGCTTAAGACAAAGTCATAATTTTACTTATCTGTTTTTCCCTCAAGCTAATGGTATCTTTTTCCACTTGGGTTGTTTGAGCTTCAGGGAGAGGTGACATGGATAATGAAAAACTGTCCTTCCCACCCTCATCAATGTGTTGTTTTCTTATCATTGTGCTATACTATTATGATCTCTCACCTGATTTCTTTAGTTCTTCTGATGGTATCTTTTGCATGTATGTGCGTGACTAGTTATTCAGATTGGTGGTTCTGCAGGGGAACAATCACCAGAGAATCCTGTTCCATCATTTGGCTTAGTTATGTGTATGTTAGGTGAATAGAGTTTTTCTTCTTTCTGGAAAATCTTGTTAGTAGGCTAAGGTTCTTGTGAATGGAACAGCTAGTTATCTCACAAAGAGCTCGAGGTTCTTCTTCACTCTTTTCTCTCTCTGCACTTCACTCTAAAGAGCCAAATGGATAACCCTAATATATTTGAGATATAATTTTCTATAACTTTCTAAGGCCTTTTCCCTAAAAATAAAGCTACTTTTTTGTTCTCTCTCTCTCTGACAAATGATTCGCAGTGACAAATACTCCTAAACTTTCCAAAATCAGTTGCAAAACTGATTCCTTGATTCACGTGATAGAGATACAGGAGGTGGGGATAGAGGGGACTTGTAGTTCAGGTTGGGTCCCATCATTACAACATGAGGATTCTAGATCTTGACATAGCAGGAGCATGGCCATCTTGGAAAAGCATCACCATTTAAAAGTGCCTTGATCAAACTGCCTAAATCTAAATGACATCAGTCTCATGGCTAATGTCAGCATGACCATAAAACACAAATAACATCTCCTACCAGAAACATTCCAACCATAAGATAAACCCCTCCCTGACCAGAGACATGCCAGCCCTGAGATAACCTCCCCTCCAACCAGAGAGATGTCGGCCCCACGATAGCCTCCCCTCCAACCAGAGACATTCCAACCCCTCAATAAACTTCTCCCTCAACAGAAACATTACAAGCCTGTGATAATCTCTCTCACTCTAAAACCAATAAATACTCTTAGTCTGTAAAAAAATGTTCCTGATTCAAATAAGTCAGAAGTCCCTCTCAGGTTTACTCTCCAAAATAAACCTGCCTTTGACTGTTGAGCCACTTTTTGTGTTTCTTTCCTCTTCAACTCTTACAGATCTGGCAGCACAATACCTAGAATATCACAGGTAGTCAAAATAAGTTTATTGCTATATATTAAATACAGAATTTCCTCTAAAACCTCCAACTTAGTTGCCTGCAAATGTTCTTAGATATCTGCAGGTCCATTACTCCTTACTTATTTACTGCTGCCTTCTGAAGAAGGTGAAATATTGTGAAACTTTATACTTACTGTTTTCTAATATATTGCCTATGAGGAAACCCAAAGTGCCTGAAAAGTAGTTGAGTAGGAGAAGCTTGATGTAGGCAGAAGTACTTCCAGAAAACACAAAGCTTATTAGGTACACAAAGGGAATGGCAGACCAGCCATACAGCGTGAAGATCAGCATAGTTTCCAGAATGTGGTAATCCATGACATAAATATCAAATTTGTGGTATTTTATCACTCCCTGAAACACAAAGGGTACAGAGATAAAGGCAAAGTGAAGGGTAAGTGCAAAAAGAAACCAAGCCAAAACATTTAGAGAAGGAAACACCAAGTCCTGTCTTTATTTGGCATGGAACTAGTTATTAATTAAGTCAATCTGCCTCTTAAAACATCACTGGTCATTAGAGAAATGCAAATCAAAGCCGCAATGAGATATCATCTCATGCCAGTTACAACGGTGATTATTAAAAAGTCAGGAAACAACAGATGCTGGTGAGGCTGTGGAGAAATAGGAGTGCTTTTACACTGTTGGTGGGAGTGTAAATTAGTTGAACCACTGTGGAAGACAGTGTGGTGATTCCTTGATTTACAACCAGAAATACCATTTGACCCAGCAATGCCATTACTGGGTATATACCCAAAGGATTATAAATCATTCTACTCTAAAGACACATGCACTTGTATGTTTATTGCAGCACTATTTACAATAGCAAAGAATTGCCCAAATGCCCATCAATTATAGACTAGATAAAGAAAATGTGGCATATGTACACCATGGAATACCATACAGCCATAAAAAGGAATGAGTTCATGTCCTTTGCAGAAACATGGATGAATCTGGAAGCCGTAATTCTCAGCAAATTAACACAAGAACAGAAAACCAAACACTGCATGTTTTCACTCATAAGTAGGAATTGAACAATGAGAACACATGGACACAGGGAGGGTAACATCATACATGGGACCTCTCTAGTAGAGCTTAAAACCTAGATGACAGGTTGATAGGTACAGCAAACCACCATGCCATATGTATACCTATGTAACAAACCTGCATGTTCTGCACATGTATCCCAGAATTTAAAGTAGAATAATCAACAAAACAAAACAAACAAAACAAAAACTTTAGCTCTGGGTCTGGGCATGGTGGCTCACGCCTATAATCCCAGCACTTTGGGAGGCTGAGGTTCAGGAGGCAGGGGTTGCCATGAGCTGTGATTGCACCAGTGCACTCCAGCCTGGGTGATAGAGTGAAACCCTATCTCAAAAAACAAAACAAAACAAAACAAAACAAAAACCTTATCCCAAGGGCATGAAGTAAGTTATTTTTACCTCTTCACCAGAGGACATTCCAGTGAGCAGGACCACTATACTTTCTTTTATTATTGTTTTCTACTTGGAACAGTTGCTGTAATAATACTGGCAAGTTTCCCAGAAAGTAGATTATTTCTCTAAGGAGACAGTTTCTCTAAAGATTTTTTTTTCTCTGACTACATAATTTACCTATCACTGCTATCCTCCTTTAAACTGGGCCTCCAGGTTCTATTCTACTTCCCCACTTCCCTTACATCCACCTAAGACACTAAACCAGACAGTGAAACACAAAATTAAAATAAATGTGGTGATGGAGAGGAACATCAAGCGGTGAAAAGGAATACATTTCTGGAAATGTATATCTCATTAGTTAATAGTTAACATTTCTCCACAATTATATGATTATGTAGCAAGACAAGCAAGAAGTAAATAGTAAGATTAAGCTAAGAATAATCATTATATTGACTGATGTTCTTGGTGGTGGCAGCAAAAGCAATAGAGAAGATTTGTAGGTAATAGATGAATCCAGTCCCTGCAGCTATAATTATTTTGTTTCTAAGTATACTGGAAACCTAAAAGAATAAATAAAATGAAGAAATCAATAAAAGAGTAACCTAGGAATTTCTGTGTTCAAAGTCTCATGATCCTTCAATGTCACAAATCATAACCTATTTCATAGAAAAGGTGAATTCCTTATTGGGTAAGCAAGCAACATAGTTGCTCTTGGACAACAGAATCATGCATTGTGAATATTTAGATTCTACCCAACTTAATCTATATATGAAAATGCAAACAAAATTTTTCAAGTAAATATTTTTACCTCTTTATTATAAAATATACCACATATTCAGAAAAGTACATATAACATCAATGAATTATCACAAGGCAATTCCCTGGGAAACTACCACAATGCCAGTACTCACAGAATCCTATCAGAAACTCCTCCAATCCCTGTAAAAGTAACCAGTTTTCCTGGCACTATTAATCTGCTTTCTGAATCTATGAATTTGCCTATTTTGGACATTTAAATTAAATGGAATCATACAACATATGGCCTTTTGTGCCTAGCTTATATTAGTTAGCATAATTTTTCAAGGTTCATGCAAGCTGTAGCAGGTATCAGCATTTCGTTCCTGATTATGGTTAAGTAATATTCCATTGTATTGATATACCATATTTTATTTATTCATTCATGAACATTTGGGACTTTCATTTTCAAGTGTTTAAAAAATTGATGTTTGCAGCTCTCCTGGGTATAAATCTAGGAGTCTAACTGCTGAGTCATACGGTAATTACATGTTTAATTTTTGAAGAACCACAAAACTGTTTTCCACAACAGCTGAAACATTTTACTTTGTTTCTTTTTTTATCCTAATGATTTTTTCTAAGTCTGTTTCGAATGATATTATTAAAGCTATACTAGCTCTCTTTTAAAGAAAATCTTTCAGCATTTTATTTTCAAACTATTTGTGTCAATGAACCCAGAGTGAGTCTCTTGTAGACACCATATGGTTAGATTACTTTTTTGGAATCATTCTACTAATCCCCGACTTTTGAGTTTAATCCATTTACATTTAATGTACTTACTTATAAGTACTTCTGTCATTTGTTTATGTATTACATCTTTTTTTATTTTTTTTATTTTTGAGATAGAGTCTTGCTCTGTTACCAGGCACCAGGCTGGAGTGCAGTGGCACAATCTCGGTTCACTGCAACCTCCACCTCCCGGGTTCAAGCAGTTCTCATCTCAGCCTCCCAACTAGCTGGGACTACAGGCTTGGGCCACCACACCCAGCTAATTTTTGTATTTTTAGTAGAGATGGGGTTTCACCATGTTGGTCAGGGATGGTTTCGATCTCTTGACCTCATGATCTGCCCACCTTGGCCTCCCAAAGTGCTGGGATTAAAGGCGTGAGCCACCGTACCCAGCCTATGTTGTTCATATTTTTCCATTTATCCATTCTGCCATTTGTGTTTAATATATATTTCTGAGTGTGCCATTTAATTCAATTGTATTTTAAGATTACATGTAGTTGGGTTGCTATTTTAGTGGTTGGAGGTTAAAATAAATACACATTTCATAACAATATAATTTAGAATAATATCAACTTAATTTTAATATAATACAAATATTTTGTGCCTATATAGCTGACTTCCCTGTCTTGTATGCTATTATCACAAATTACATCTTTATACATTGTGTGTCCATCATCATAGATGTATAATTATTGCATTACACAGATGACTTTTAAATTTAAAAATATAAGAGTTATTAACAAAAACATATTAATATTGCATTTTACATTTACCTATGTTTTTACTTTTTTGGTATTCTTTATTTCTTCATTTGGATTTGAGTTACAGTCTATGTCCTTTCATTTCAGACTGAAGAATTTCCTTCAGAATTTCTTGTAGGGCATGCCTGCTAGCAACAAACTCTATTAGTTTTTTTTTTTTTTTTTTTTTTTTTTAAACTTGGGAATGTGTAATTACGCCTTATTTTCTTTTATTGTGGAAAGAACATTTAACATATGATTTACCTTCTTAATACATTTTTAAGTGTAAAATATATGATTGTTAACTGTAGGCACAATCTTTTCCTATAAATCTCTAAGGCTTATTTATTTTGTTTAAGTGAAACTTTATGCTCACTGATCAGTAACTTCCCATTATCCTATTCTCCAAGCCCCTAGCAACCACCATTCAACTATTTGATTTTATAAGTTTGACTATTTTAGATATCTCATGTAAGCGGAATCATGAAATATTTGGCTTTTTGTTACTTCTTTATTTTACTTAGCATAATGTCTTCAAGATTCATCCATACTGTAGCAAATGTCAGAATCATCTTTTTTGTTTGCTTGTTAAGAGATGGAGTCTTATTTGTCACCCAGGCTGCAGTACAATGATGTGATCTCGGCTCACTGCAACTTCCACATCCTGGATTCAAATAATTCTCCTGCCTCAGTTTCCAAATTAGCTGGGACTTCAGACATGCACCACTATGCCCAGCTAATTTTTGTATTTTTTAGTAGAGACAGGGTTTCACTATGTGTTGGCCAGGCCGGTCTTGAACTCTGACCTCAGGTGATCCATCCACCTCATCCTCCCAAAGTGCTGGGATTACAGGAGTGAGCCACCATGCCCAGCCAGAATCATCTTATTTTTTTAAGGCTGAATAATATTCCATTGTATGTGTATACCACATTTTCTTTATCCATTCATCTGCTGATGGATATTTAGGCTTTTTTTTTTCTTTTTTTTTTTTTTTTTTTTTTTTTTTTTTTTTTTTTTTTTTTTTTTAGCATTTTAGTTATTGTGAATAGCGTTGAGTGAACATAGAAGTGATGGTAGATCTTTGAAATCCTGATTTGAACTCTTTTTGATAAATACCCAGAAATGGGGTTGTTTGATAATATAGTAGTTCTATTTTTAATATTTTGAGGAACCTCCACATTGTTTTTTATAGTAGGGACACCATTTTGCATTTCCACCAACAGTTGGCAAGGGTTCCAATTTGTACAAACTTTACCAACAATAGTTATCTTTTTAAAAATCTTTTTAAGAAAAAGTCATCCTAATAGGTGTGAGGTGATTATCTCATGGTTTTGATTTGCATTTCCCTGTTGACTAGGAAAATTGAGCAAATGTTCATATACCTGTTGAAAATTTATGTCTTCTGAGAAAATCTATTCAATTCCTTAGCCCACTTTTGAATTAGGTTATTATTTTTTGCTATTGAGTTGAAAGAGTTCCTTATATATTTTGGATATTAACCCCTTTTAAGATGTATGATTTATAAATATTTCCTCCCATTCTGTAGATTTTTCTCTTGACTCTACTGATTGTTTCCTTTGCTGTGCAGAAGGTTTTTAGTTTGATGTAATCCTGACTGTCTATTTTTGCTTTTGTTGCCTGTGCTTTTGGGGTCATAAAAAAGTAATGTTTCCCATATGTTTTCTTCTAGCAGCTTTATAGCTTCAGGACTTACATATAAGTCTTTATTATATTTTAAGTTGATATCTGCATATGGCATAAAATAATGGTCTAAATGGATTCTTTTGCATGTGGATATTCAGAATTTTCAACACAATGTATTCAAGAGACTGTTCTTTCCCCATTTTGTGTTCTTGTCACCTTTTGTAAAAAATTAACTGATGGTAAACGCATGAGGTTATTTTGGTACTCTTTTTTTTCCATTAGCCTATATCTCTATTTTTATGTAAAGAAGTTACTTTTTAAATTAATAATATGGTAAAGTTTCTACCATGAGAGTTTTGCAATGTGTTTCCCAAGTTAATAAGCAAGGATGGTTTATTAACAAGAGCTAAGTTTCATAACCATTAGAATAGGAATTTTCCATGAGATACAAAAGGAAAATAAACCCTCAAGAAACTTTACTTCACACTCACCATTATTAAGAAACAGGAAGCAAAGAAGATGATGAAATCCCACAATAGGGCAGAAAGCCAGTACACAATGACAGAGACGCCACTCACAAACTGAATGTGCTTTGTCTTAGTGGTTCTCTCAGTCACTGTCAGGAGACAATAGCCACTGATCAGAAGAGCCATGCCAAATTGTAAAGCTAAGGCCAATTGTTGTCCATTTATAGGCCTACGAAAGAAGACATATCAGAAAATCAACATAGCAGAAAATACAGATTTCAATCAATAGCTATTTTTAATCATATAAATGTAATCAGATACGGTGGAAAGAATGTATTTAAAGAGTAAAACTGAATTCTAATGAAAAGAATAACATACTTTTCATTGTCTTTACCATCAGGGGGTGGCTGAGGTTTATTGGAGACTGTTAAGGAAGCATCGGCCCCAGAAAGTGACTTGAAAAGAATGTTGTCTAACACTGCAAGAGCTGCAGATGGTGAATGATATGCTTCATTGTTGAACAGAGCAGTAAGTACTACTATGTTTGGCTTTGACTCAATAGAAAGTGCAACGATACATAAACGAATACAATCTTTTGTTTCCCTCAAGTACCTCAGTAGGTCACCTAGAATGAGAAAACAGTATTGGTCAGTGTGTCCACAATACAGATCACCTATAATATATGCCAGGGAAGAGGAACAAATAATTTTGCTTCTCGTCCCCTTCAATTATCCCATAATGACTACTTCAAACATTTGCTGTTGCCTCCAGCACTTTACTCCATCATTACATTCCTGTCTCACTTTATAGCCTATAAAGTAAACTACTACTTCTCTGAGCAAACATAGACTCTCTCAGCTTACTTACCTATCTTAAAGTGATTTATGAGTGTTTTCACTTATAGCTTTGCTAATCTTACAGCAGACAAAGCCTTCCTCTGGAAAGCATAGAAGCTAACTAAAAACATTAAAAACATTAAAAAATATCACTTCATTAAGGATATTAGAGAGCTAGGAAAAGCACTGTATCAACATTCGAGAAGAATGGGAATGCTCTAAGAAGAGTCCAACATTCTACATTCTTTTTTTCTTTGAGGCCTTTATGGATTTGTAAATGGTAGAGGTATCTTAGTAAATCCTCAGGTTCTCTGTGGGCTCAAGAAGGGTGATACCCTCACAGAAAGAGTAAGAAATAGACCAATTCTTTCTTTAAGAGATCAGTCTCACTGTGTTTCCCAGGCTGGAGTACAGTGGGAAATATTCACAGTCATGATAATAGTGCACTACCGCCTCAAACTCCTGGGGTTGTGTGACTCTCCCTCCTAAGTCTCCAAAGTATTTGGGGCTACAAACCCTTGCCACCATGCCCAGCGTAATAACACACACATTCTTATAAAAATTTCAACCCAGCCTCAAATTACTTCAATCCATGACTGGATTTAGATCTTTCCTTAATCTTACTGCCTGCCAGAAGTAAAACCGAATCTCCTCTGGAGAAGATAATCTTGATAATTTTCATACTCGATATCAGGCATTGAATTAAGAAATTATCAATTATACTAAGAAACAGAACCAAGAAAAAGTGCAGTATCCATTATACTAAGAAACAGAACCAAGAGAAGGTACAGACAATAGAAACGGATTCACTGATGGGCCAGTTAGTAAACATAGAGAATTTACCAGAGAACTAGAGTCCACAGAAATAATCAAATGTTGATATTGAATTGAAAAACGCATTAATTACAATTAAGAAGTTAATACAGTGGCTCACACCTATAATCCCAGCACTTTGGGAGGCCAAGGCAGTGATCATGAGGTCAAGAGATCAAGGCCATTCTGGCCAACATGGTGAAACCCCATCTCTACTAAAAATACAAAAATTAACTGGGCAGAGTGGTATGTGCCTGTAGTCCCAGCTACTCAGGAGGCTGATGCAGGAGAATCACTTGAACCCAGAGGTTACAGTGAGTCAAAACCAGGCCACGCCACCCCCGCCGGGAGAAAAGGGGAGACACTGTCTAAAAAAAAAAAAAAAAAAAAAAAAAAAGAAGTTAATACTTAACTATACAGTAGGTTGAACACAAATAAAATGTAGATTAGGGCACTGGCAGACAAGTGATTAGAATACCCAGACAAAAAAGCAGTGGATGGAAAATAAGAGAGAAGACACATATTACCAAAGTTAGGAATGAAACAGAAAATCACTACCCATCATGCAGATATAAAAAGGATAATAAAGGAATTCTATGACCAACTCTACACAAATATGATGGTTAATTTTATGTGTCAACTTGACTGGGTTGAGGGATACCCAGATAGTTGGTAAGACATTATATCTGGGTATGTCTGAGAGGGTGTTTCCAGATGAGATTAGAATTTGAATCAGCAGACTGACTAAAGGGCCTCATCAATGTGAGTGGTCATCATCTAATCCACTAAGGGACCAAACAGAACAAAAGCATGAAAAAAGGGCAATTTTCTTTCTCTTCATGAGAGAAAATGTGCCACCTATTTTCTCCTGCCCTTAGACATTAGCAATCCTGATTCTCAGACTTTTGGACTCTGGGACTTAACACCAGTGGTCACCTTGGTTCTCAGGCCTTTGGCCTTAGACTGAATTACTGGCTTTCCTGGGTATGCAGCTTGCATACAGCATATTATGGGACTTCTTGGCCTCCATAATCACATGAGCCAATTCCTCTAATAAATCTTTTCTTTATACATTTCTCTCTCTCTCTACACACACACACACACACACACACACACACACACACACACACGCACACTCATGTTGGTTCTGCTTTTCCAAAGAACTCTAATACAACACATGAATTCAACAGTTATTTCAAATAGACCATTTCTTCAAAACATACAACTACGGATTTGCTGTCAAGATGGCTGAATAGAAGAAACAGCTCTGGTCTGCAGCTCCCAGTGAGACTGATGCAGAAGGCGGGTGATTTCTGCATTTCCAACTGAGGTACCTCGTTCATCTCACTGGGACTGGTTGGAAAGTGGATACAGCCCATGGAGGGTGAGCTGAAGCAGGGTGAGGAATTGCCTCACTTGGGAAGCACAAGGGGTCAGGGGATTTCCCTCTCCTAGCCAAGGGAAACTGTGAGAGATTGTACCGGGAGGAATGGTGCACTCCAGCCCAGATACTGCAATTTTCCCACAGTCTTCACAACCTGCAGACCAGCAGATTCCCTCTGGTGCCTATACCACCAGAGCCCTGTGATTCAAGAACAAGACTGGGTGGCCATTTGGGCAGACACTGAGCTAGCTGCGGGAGTTTTTTTTGTTTTGTTTTTTTTTTCCCATACCCTAGTGGTACCTGGAATGCCAGTGAGACAGAACCATTCACACTCCTGGAAAGGGCGCTGAAGCCAAGAAGCCAAGTGATCTGCCTTGGCAGATCTCACTCCCATGAAGCCCAGCAAGCTAAGATGCACTGGCTTGAAATTTTTGTGGCCAACACAGCAATCTAAAGTCAACCTGGGATGCTTAAGTTTGGTGGGGGGGGATGGGCATCCACCATTGCTTAGGCTTGAGTAGGCTGTTTTACCCCCATACTGTAAACAAAGCCACTGGGAAGTTCGAACTGGGTGAAGCCCACCTCAGCTCAGCAAGGCCACTGTGGCCAGGCTGCCTCTCTAGATTCCTCCTCTCTGGGCAGGACATCTCTGAAAAAAAAGCAGCAGCCCCAGTCAGGGACTTATAGATAAAACCCCATCTCCCTGGGACAGACCACCTTGGGGAAGGGCCAGCTGTGGGTGCAGCTTCAGCAGATTTAAACGTCCCTGCCTGACAGCTTTGAAGAGAGCAGTGATCTCCCAGCACAGCATTCGAGCTCTGATAAGGGACAGACTGCCTCTTCAAGTGGGCCCCTGACCCCTGTGTATCCTGACTGGAAGATACCTCCCAGTAGGGGCCAACAGACACCTCATACAGGAGAGTTTTGGCTGGCATCTGGCAGGTGCCCCTCTGGGATGAAGCTCCAGAGAATGGAACAGGCAGCAATCTTTGCTGTTCTGCAGCCCCTGCTGGTGATAACCAGGCGAACAGGGTCTGGAATGGAGCTCCAGCAAACTCCAGCAGAGCTGCAGCAGAAGGGCCTGACTGTTAGAAGGAAAACTAACAAACAGAAAGGAACAGTATCAACATCAACAGAAAGCATGTCCACTCAGAGACCCCATCCGAAGGTCACCAACATCAAAGACCAAAGGTAGACAAATCTACAAAGATGGGAAGAAACCAGCACAAAAAGGCTGAAATTCCGAAAACAGAAAGCTTCTTCTTCTCCAAAGGATCACAACTCCTTGCCATCAAGGGAACAAAACTGGATAGAGAATGAGTTTGACAAATTGACAGAAGTAGGCTTCAGAAAGTGGGTAATAACAAACTCCTCTGAGCTAAGGGAGCATGTTCAATGCAAGGAAGCCAGGAACCTTGAAAAAAGATTAGACGAACTGCTAACTAGAATAACGAGTTTGGAGAAGAACACAAATGACACGATGGAGCTGAAAAACACAGCATAAGAACTTCATGAAGCATACACAAGTATCAATAGCCAAATCAATCAAACAGAAGAAAGGATTTCAGAGGTTGAAGATCAACTCAATGAAATAAAGCAAGAAGACAAGATTAGAGAAAAAAGAGTAAAAAGAAATGAACAAAGCCTCCAAGAAATATGGAACTATGTGAAAAGAACAAATCCACATTTTATTGGTGTACCTCGAAGTGATGGGGGGAATGGAACGAAGTTGGAAAATATTCTTCAGGTTATTATCCAGGAGAACTTCCCCAACCTAGCAAGGCAGGCCAACACTCAAATTCAGGAAATACAGAGAACACCACAAAAATACTCCTCAAGAAGAGCAACACCAAGACACATAATCATCAGATTCGCCAAGATTGAAATGAAGGGAAAATGTTAAGGGCAGCCAGAGAGAAAGGTCAGGTTATCCACAAAGGGAAGTCCATCAGACTAACAGTGGTTCTCTCAGCAGAAACCCTACAAGCCAGAAGAGGGTAGGGGCCAATATTCAACATTCTTAAAGAAAAGAATTTTCAACCCAGAATTTAATATCCAGCCAAACTAAAGTTCATAAGTGAAGGAGAAATAAGATCCTTTATGAAGAAGCAATTGCTTAGAGATTTTGTCACCACCAGACTTGCCTTACAAGAGCTCCTGAAGGAAGCACTAAACATGGAAAGGAACAGTCAATACCAGCTACTGCAAAAACATACCAAATTGTAAAGACCATTGATGCTATGAAGAAACTGCATCAACTAACAGGGAAAATAACCAGCTAGCATCATAATGACAGGATCAAATTCACATATAACAGTATTAACCCTACATGTAAATGGGCTAAATGCCCCAATTAAAAGACACAGACTGGCAAATTGGATAAAGAGTCAAGACCCATCAGTGTGCTGTATTCAGGAGACCCATCACACATAGGCTCAAAATAAAGGGATGGAAGAATATTCACCAAGAAAATGGAAAGCAAAAAAAAAGAGCAAGGGTTGCAATCCTAGTCTCTGATAAAACAGACTTTAAACCAACAAAGATCAAAAGAGACAAAGAAGGACATTATATAATGGTAAAGGGATCAATGCA